AGGCGCCTTCTCCCTCACCGGCTTCCAGGACTTCTCGGTGAGCGCGCTGCCCGCCTCCTCCCCGGCCTCCCCGCACTTGGAGCCCGGACTGAGCGGGGCGGCGAGTTCGCCTGACAGTCTGCCCGGGAGTCGAGCTGTGCTTACTTGCCCCGGCCGGTTGGGCCCCGGGCAGAGCCGCGGGGTACAGGCTTGGGATAGAGGTGGCCAGCGAGGGCTTTTCCCCGGAGAGCCTCACTTGGGGAGCCCTCAGTGGAGGAGGACCTTCCCCCTGTGGGTAGGCTGCTATTGGCCATCCAGCCGGAGAACGCGGGGCGTGGTGGGGGATGGGGGGGCACCCGACCTGCTGGTACCAGCAGTGAGACAGGCCCGCGGCCCCGCACCCCCTTGTAGCCCGAGGCCAGGAGATCCTCTCAGTCATACCCTTCCGCGCCGTTACCCTCCACCACCCTCCTGTCCTATTTCAGTTCCTTCCAGGACACCAGAAGCTGAGTGCCAGGATCCGGAGAAGACTCTACTATGGCTGGGGCTGGGAAGCGGACTGCAGCTTGGAGGAGCTCTCCAGCCCCATGGCAGGTGAGACCGTGTTGTGTGACCGGGAAAATGGGAAGCAAGAAAATGGGGTTGTCAGCGGGCACCAAAATGACTAGGTGCCGACACTTCATGGGTAGCTCACTAGTTAGTATAAGCGCTGGGTTTATTTATTTGTATTTGTTTATTTATTTGTTTACTTATCGCCAGCTGGGCTACTTACTTTTATTTTAAAAAATATGTTTTCTATTGATTTTAGAGAGGAAGGGAGAGGGAGAGAACCATTGATTGGCTGCCTCCTGCACTCCCCCTACTGGGGATCAGGCCTGCAGCCCCCAGCATGTACCTTGACCAGGAATTGAACTATGGACCCCTCTGTGCATGGGACAGTGCTCAACCAACTGAGTCACACTGGCCATGACCAGGACTGGGTTCATATTTCACTTTTTTTTTTAGCCCAAACGAGTAAAAAACATTGCTATCTTACAAATCTTTATCACTCTTGTTTTGTATAACAGAATTTTCCAAGAACATGTTTATTTCTCAAATGAACAAGAGTGGGAGACAAATTTCAGTAACTTCAGGTGTCTGGGAAATAAGCCTTCGTACTGGAAGGAACTGCAGTTCAAACTTGGGACGGACTTTTTGTCTCCGTGTGGGAGAATTGATCTCTGTTACTATGGTCCTGTCTCCAAGGCCTCAGATAATAGAGAGCTCTCTGGGTCTTCTGCTGAAAGAAGTGGGGACGTGTGTGTGGGGGAGGGGGGGGTGGAGTTGTTTGCGTACCCTGTTTTCCTTCTGCCCCTGCAGACATTGCTGTGGAATTGCTCCAGAAGGCAGCCCCCAGCCCTATTCGCCGACTCCAGAAGAAATATGTAGCCCATGTGTCCCGGTGAGCCTGGAATTGAGGGGGACAGGATGAAAGTGTTTGGAACCTAGAAAGAAGGGAATGATTATCTCTAAAGAGAAGCTGTAAAGACACAGGGATGGGCCTCAGGAGTTACAAGAGCTGAAAAGCCCTTGGGTGTAATTACTGATCCTTTCCACCACCCAGGGAGGCATGCATCTCCCCGTGTGCTATGATGCTGGCTCTGGTGTACATTGAACGGCTCCGGCACCGAAACCCGGACTACCTACAGCATGTGTCCTCCTCTGACTTATTCCTGATCTCCATGGTAGGACAGCCCCTCCCCTCATTTCCCTGGTGAGCCAGGAGCCCAATGTGAGCTCTGTTGACACCACGTCTGGTGCCTCTGCAGATGGTGGCCAGTAAGTACCTCTATGATGAAGGGGAGGAGGAGGAGGTCTTCAATGATGAATGGGGAGCTGCAGGGGGTGTGGCTGTGCCCACTCTCAATGCCCTGGAGAGGGGCTTCCTGAGTGCCATGGTGAGTAGCTATTCTCTCTCTCTCTCTCTCTCTCACTGTTTCCCTAGCCCATCTTTATGTTCCTTTCACCCTTTGTCTTTTCTCTCTCAGCCTTCTGTTTCTTAATTTCTCTTTCTGCCTGTCCTCCTTGTTAGTATCTTCCCTTTTTAGCCCTCTGGACTAACTAGCCTTTGAAGGTGCCTGGTGTAGTGAGGCCAGAAATGGAGCATCTCTGCTCCCCCATTCCTCCAGGCCCACCTGGGTACACTTTGAGACAAGAGTTTATCCTACTGGGTGCTGATTATTTGCTTCCAGACTTTCTCTACTCCTAGCCTCATGGGTCATTAGCAGGATTATTTTCTCCCTGTGCTATTAATGGAGAGTGTAATGTGAATGCAGATATGTGATGATTAAATTAGTTAATACATAAAAGCTCTTGGAATAGTATTTGGCACATAGTAAGTGTCAAGTAAGTATTACGCATAGTGGCAGTTGTAGTGCTGTTGCCGCTCTGATTATTAAATGATTGTGGCTCATGTCTGAGCCTGGTTTGGTGCCCTTCTCTTCATACCCACAGGATTGGCGTCTCTACACTGAACCTCGGGAGATATTTGAGGTGCTGAGCTGGTTAGAGAGCTGGTAAGTTCTAGGAGTTGAGGGGCTTAAGGGCTGAGGCCTAAGCCATAGGAGCTAGACAGAGATAAGGGTTTGTGTTACGGGGTGGGGGTAAAGGGGTCGAAGGGAGGAGACAGGGAAGAGAATTGTCCAAGACAGTGGTTCCCAAACCTGCCTGCCCTTTTTGTAATCAGTCAGTTACCTTTGGGAGAGTGGGAGAAGATTATAAAAAATACAGATCAAGATC